TGCAAATGTCTCAACTGACCAATCAGAATCAAGCATTCCAGAGAGCCGTGTAATAAGTTTTAACAATATCTTGTCACTTGAGCATCATCATTCCCTCAACCATTCACCATCGTTGTTTTCTCCCTTAATCCACACCCCTATATGATAAGTTTGTCAGTCATTTCTTTTACTATTTGGTCTCTCTGCCAAACGTAATGGTGGTGTGACCATCTCCTCTTGGTTTTTTAAAACTGCTCAGCCGTGAACCTCTGGTGAACTCAGATGAATCCCTTTCTTCAGCAGTAAACCTTGGCAGCTTCAGCCTGTTGCACATTGTCTAATTAGAGGGTTGATAATATATTTGTCCTTCAACATAGTGATAAGGTATAACACTAATAATGGTGGATATTCATTCATGCAGGGCAAACATAAAGTAGCTAACAGAAACTCTTAGGCTAACATGAGGTGCAAATACATACTCAATTGATTACATTGTGTTGATTACATTATAATGATTACATTGTAATGATTAAATCATAGATATTTGGCATGCTTTTTAAATATCATAATGATTATATTCCATGTTGTATAGTGCTAAATAATATTCCATAATGAGTCTTGAGACATTTCTTGAAGGTGGAGAGGGAGTCTGATGACCAGATGTGGTTCAGCAGCTCATTCCACCATTAGGGGATGATGACATAGATGATAATACAACTGGGCAGCACTCAGTGACGTCACTCAGGTGAAGACTGAATCCACTGGACCTTCTTATCTCCATTTGTCCGCAGCCAATCATTGGTAATGGATAAATTGTGTTTTTTTAGTTAATCCACATCCCATTGCCCCCTACATCCTCCCAAACAGCCACAAACAATGAACAGTTATGGTGTTGACAACACATCACTCCGTAAAAGGATTTGACCCTGATTTTGGTACATTTTCTCACGGAATTAAACCAGTAATAGGTTTGAGTTGCAATATCAAAGAAGAAAACCCCCTTTGTGATCTTCTGTAGAACTCCTTCAACTGCTGGATAATCCTGATTCACTCTATTTACTGTGTATGGTTGGACATCAAATCACAAAATAATAATACAGTAAATACACCAATCAGTTGAAATAATGGATGTAGTTAATATTAATTACATGTATTGCTTGAGCATTTTTTTATTGAAAATGTATGTAAATACTGGGTTGGTTTTATGATTTTTACTAAAGTTTTGGAGAAGATTCTGCACCATCTTTTGGCAACTCGTAGCTACGGCCAAATTAACACTTGCCCTCTCCCTGCTGATCACAACCACACACATGCGTATATCGCATAAATGTAACGGAATACACTTTTTGGCAAGAACAAGGGATATTGCTGCTTTTAATTCCTATTAACTGACAATAAGAATCTAATTTATTATTCTTCATTTTATATACACATACTGTTAAAACACCTTAACACGATTACTTGTGAAAGGAAGTGATTTTTCATGGCATGATCCGGCTGGTTACTTTTTGTCAGCCTCCACATTAATGCTGTTCAGAGGTGATTTAGGAGCAGCGCTCTAGTCTCACAGATCCATCCAGCATTTGTACCGCAGGTCCAACCCTGCCATAATGTATACCACCTTTGGATTCTAGCACAGTATTCATTCTGGTAATATGAACTCGGCTCCTGGAAACTAGAACAGAAAGAAAGAGACCGAGTGATAAAACAGTGTTTTAAAAACTTATTGCTAAGAAGGCAGCAGCAACTCACCTGTTAGATTCTCTGTTAACGTTTTTCTTAATCCAGGATGTATTTAATGACAGGGGAAATAGTTATTATCAGTTCTTGTTATTTAAATTCTGTCTTAAAAATTGTTGAAAATGTCTTAAAAAGTACAGTCTATATATAAACCATTGGCCAGAAAAATAGTCATTGGGGACTGACGGTGCAAACCAGGGCTCTTCAAATCTGGACCTCGACTGTTCAGCGAGCGTCCGGACTGAAGACCAGCTCTCCGGCCAGCGCCATATTGTACGCTGTACCAGCACTTTGGTCGTGGGAACGTCAGCGCGGCGCTTCTATTATATTCTGCTTGTTCTGGTCTCTGATTAATTGGGTCGGCGAATGAAGGTTGTATATTGTTTGCAGTAATTGACCTTTTTTAATTGCCATATAATTTTATACTGAACCCGCGATCCGTCGCCTTTAGTTTGATGCATATGCTTTGCGTTGTGGGATAGGGAACCTTAAGTAGCATGTAAAGCACGGACGTGCGCAGGGTCAAAGTTTTCCTGGGTCCTTCTCTTACATCTTCGGAAAAGTGGCTTTTTTACTTGCTTCATATCTTAGTTAATATGTACAAATGACTTATTTTCTATGCGCTGTTTTAGTTCGGAAATGTGCAATGGCTTGCTGTGATGCTAATTTGCCATACATGGCTATATATGTTAGCGTATCATTTATTTGTAATTCCGTTGATGATTAACGCAACCCAGTATGGTTGAAATACCGGTAAATTGCGGCTCTCTGTGGATGAAAAAATATGTGCTCTTTGGGTGACAGCGATCAAAAGAGATCAGGGACCAACTTTAAAAATTCTTTATGGGAGCATCTACATATATAGTCAGTACTTTGCCCCAGAGGATGTGTATACATCATCCAGCCAGCTTCACAGCTTTTCTCAGCTTTACCTTTTTTTACTTGATTAGCGTTGAGCTTTCTTGTATTCCAATGGTCCTGATCGGCGCTCGAGTAACCCGGAAATAAAGATAACCTGCCTCTAGTCAGGACGGAGATAACCTGACGTTATGTGAAAGGGGCCAATTCGCTTAATGACCTAGTGATAGGAACGGAACTCTTGAGGATCGTGATTTTAATAGCCCTGGTATAAACCATGTATGAGCAAAAGTGACACGGAAAGTTGTTTCTTTTTCTGCAAAGGAATCGACATACTGTGTCTGAATACTGTGTTTGAGCAATTTCCTCCGGGATAAATAAAGTTTTTCTGATTCTGATTCTGATTCTGAATGAATCCTTACCCTCTCAGAGATCTGCCATCCAGCCAAATCCAAACATTCTTCTCTGCATTATATTTCAGTCCAATCCAGTGATTATCTGTTTTTCCCTTAATGAAGTCCTGAAGACAAGACAGTGAATGATTCATGCANGTGCAATTACATTGGAATTACAAATTATGCTCTATTAGAATCAGTGCTTCAGAAATATTTCCTGTGGTGTTTGCTGTCATTAGAAGTGCTTCCCTTGTGTTTGTTATTTTGATTCGGGGCAGTAGCCAGTGTTAGTTGTACTAAACCTGAAAAAGAAGAACTAGGAGTTCATGGATAGGAAAGAGAATAAGAAGTCAGTATTAATGTGTATATATCACATTTTTATCACAATATGCATGCCTGTTTATTTAGAAGCACTTATACATGAGTCAACACAATATAAGAGATTACATTTACGGTAATTTCATTTAGCAGACTGTTTTGTCCAAAGCGATGTAAAAATGAGGAGAATAGAATTACAAACATAGTTGCTGTCAAGTAATCAACTACAGGCATAAGTGTAACTAGGCTGAGCTTCCAATGAACGCCTGGTAACAAGTGTAAGCAGGATTGGGGCAGGATCTACACAACATTTTCCAAGCAAAGCAAGGGCCCAATAAAACTACTATACAGTTATTCATTCAAATATTAAGAGCATTCAAGGAACATGGAGTGGTATTAAGCTAGCAGAGGTATTCCTGGGGCAGATGAGTCTTGAGATGTTTCTTGAAGGTGGAGAGAGAGTCTGATGACCAGATGTGGTTCAGCAGCTCATTCCACCATTAGGAGATGATGACATAGATGATAATACAACTGGGCAGCACTCAGTGATGTCACTCAGGTGAAGACTGAATCCACTGGACCTTCTTGTCTCCATTTGTCCTCAGCCAATCATTGGTAATGGATAAATTGTGTTTTTTAGTTAATCCACATCCCACTGCCCCCTACATCCTCCCAAACAGCCACAAACAATGAACAGCTATGGTGTTGACAACACATCACTCCGGAAAAGGATTTGGCCCTGATTTTCTAAACTTTGGTACATTTTCACACAGAATTAGACCAGTAATAGGTTGGAGTTGCAATATCAAAGAAGAAAACCCCCTTTGTGATCTTCTGTAGATCACCTTCAACTGCTGGATAATCCTGATTCACTCTATTGACTGCGTATGGTTGGACATCAAAGCACAAAAATAATAATACACCAATCAGTTGAAATAATAGATATAGTTAATATTAATTACATATATTGCTTCTGCGGCTTGAGCATTTTTTTTTTATTGAAAATGAATGTAAATACTGGGCTGGTTTTATGATTTTTACTTAAGTTTTGGAGAAGATTCTGCACCATCTTGTGGCAACTCGTAGCTACGGCCAAATTAACACTTGGCCTCTCTCTGCTGATCACAACCACACACAAGCGTATATCACATAAATGTAACGGAATACACTTTTAGTTCCTACTCACTGACAATAAGAATCTAATTTATTATTCTTCATTTTATATACACATACTGTTAAAAGACCTTAACACGATTACTTGTGAAAGGAAGTGATTTTTCATGGCATGATCCGGCTGGTTACTTTTTGTCGGCCTCCACATTAATGCTGTTCAGAGGTGATTTAGGAGCAACGCTCTAGTCTCACAGATCCATCCAGCCTTTGTGTCGCAGGTCCAACCCTCCCATGAAGTATACCGGCTTATAGCACAGTATCCTTTCTGGTAATGTGAACTCGGCTTCGGGAAACTAGAACAGAAAGAAAGAGACCAAGTGATATATCAGTGTTTTAAAAAACTTATTGCTAACAAGGCAGCAGCAACTCACCTGTTACATAGATTCTCTGTTAACGTTTTTCTTAATCCAGGAAGAATTTAATGACAGGGGAAATAGTTATTATCAGTTCTTGTTATTTATATTCTGTCTTAAAAGTTGTTGAAAATATCTTAAAAAGTACAGACTATAGGCCTACAGTATATAACTCATTGGCCAGAAAAATAATCATTGGGGACTGACGGTGCAAACCAGGGCTCTTCAAATCAGGACCTCGATTCCTCATGTTCCGGCCGAGCTGTTTAGCGACCGGACTGAGGACCAGCTCTCCGGCCAGCGCCATTGTATGCTGTACCAGCACTTTGGTCGTGGGAACGTCAGCGCGGCGCTTCTATTATATTCTGCTTGTTCTGGTCTCTGATTTATTTGGGTCGGCGAAGGAAGGTTGTATATTGTTTGCAGTAATTGACCTTTTTTAATTGCCATATAATTTTACACTGAACCCGCGATCCGTCGCCTTTATAGTTTGAGATGCATATGCTTTGTGTTGTGGGATAGGGAACCTCAAGTAGCATGTAAAGCACGGACGTGCGCAGGGTTAAAGTTTTCCTGAGTCCCTTTCTTACGTCTTCGGAAAGGTGGCTTTTTTTACTTGCTTCATATCTTAGTTAATATGTACAAATGACTTATTCTCTATACACTTTTATTTCAGTAATGTGCAAAAGGACGCTATCAGCGTTTCAATGGATTGCAGTGATGCTCATTTGCCATAGGCCTACATGCCTATATATGTTAGCGTATCATTTATTTGTAATTCCGTTGATGATTAACGTTAGCACTTATCGGTCCGCTTGTTGTAACTATGTTCTGCTAGATAGATCTCCCAAGTCTTTTCTGTGTTTGGTTTATTAGTTTCACTCATAGATTTTCTCCTGTCACATACGGAGAAAACACGCAGCGGGAAAAGTACACTATAAATTACAATATACACTACAGGTGGTGCAAAGTGAGATTAAAACAATATGTTTGGCGCAAACCTAGTATGGTTGAAATACTGGTAAATTGCGGCTCTCTGTGGATGGAAAAATATGTGCTCCTTGGGTGAGGGCGATCAAAAGAGATCAGGGCCAACTTTAAAAATTCTTTATGGGAACATCTACATATGTAGTCAGTACTTTGCCCCAGAGGATGTGTATACATCATCCAGCCAGCTTCTCAGCTTTACCTTTTTTACTCGATTAGCGTTGAACTTTGTTGTATTCCAATGGTCCTGAGCGGCGCTCGGGTAACCTGGAAATAAAGATAACCTGCCTCTAGTCAGGACGGAAATTACCTGACGTTATGTGAAAGGGGCCAATTCGCTTAATGACCTGGTCATAGGAACGGAACTCGGTCAGTAAGTGGGGAGTGTCTGTACTCCTCACACCTGGATCACAGGTAAAGGATGGATGGAAGATCAGAAGTGCTCAGACCTAGAGGATCGTGCTTTTAATAGCCCTGGTATAAACCATGTATGAGCAAAAGTGACACGGAAAGTTCTTTCTTTTTCCTTAAAGGAAT